GCCCACACTGAAGATGCTGGCCTCCTGGATTACAGGGCGGCCGGTAAAACGGGCTGCAGGGGGACACACCGGGACCAAAGGACAGGTAAGTGGCTGTTTTTTTAAAAGTCAGCAGCTACAGTTTTTCGTAGCTGCTGACTTTTATTTTTTGACAGGGTGAGTGGAACTCCACTTAAGTAAGTAGGTCAGGTGTTCTGACTTGGCTGCATCTGGTTTAGTGACTCAGAAATAACTGATTAAAGACACTTCCAGGCATTTAACATGTTCAGAAGGAGGTGTGCAATGGCAAACTGTCTATTTATCCCAGCCTAGCCTAGTAAGATCAGCCAAAAATATTTAACCTGACTGTGTTACCAACTCACTGAAAATAACTTTCTTGATCCTCTTCAGTCTGCATTTTGCTTTCAACACTCCACAGAAACTGCTCTCCTAAAACTCACAAACGATCTATTAACAGCTAAAACCAATGGACATTATTTTGTACTCCTATTCCTGGACCTCTCTGCTGTCTTTGACACAGAGGACCACCCCCTCCTCTAAAAAAACTCCGCTCCATTGGTCTCCATGACTGTACCCTTTGCTGGTTCTCATCCTATCTATCTCACTGCACCTTCAGCATCAATTACAATCACACTTGGTCCTCTTCCTTTTTCCGTTGGTGTCCCCCAAGGTTCTGATCTTGGACCTCTCCTATTCTCAATCTACACCTCTTCCCTGGTTCAGTTGATAGCCTCCCATGGTTTCTAATACCATTTCTATGCTGATGACACCCAAATTTATCTCTCCACCCAGAGATCACTCCATCAGTCTCCACACTCATCACTAATCTACTAAGGGACATATCAGCCTGGATATCACATCACTTCCTCAAACTCAATCTATCAGAAACCAACCTCATAATATATCCTCCACCACGTGCCTGTTTCCCCAACTTCTCTGTAAAGATTGAAGGCACAACTATCAACCCGTCCCCGCATACCAAGGTGCTAGGTATTATCCTGGACTCTGAACTATCCTTTCAGCCCCACATCTAATCACTGTCCAAAGCTTGCCACCTCAGCCTATGCAACATCTCCAAAATACACTCCTTCCTAACCAATGACACTTCAAAGTTTCTAATTCACTCCCTGGTCATCTCTCTCCTTGACTACTGCAACTCCATCAACACTGAATTACCAATACATAGGCTATCCCCTCTTCAGTCCATCATGAATGCTGCTGCCAGACTCATCCACCTTACCAACCATAATGTGTCTGCTCTGCTACTCCTCTCTGCCAATCCCTCCACTGGCTTCTGCTCTTCCAACTAATTCAATTAAAAATACTAACAACTTACAAAGCCATCCACAACTCTACCCCCAGCTACATCACTACATCACTACCCTAGTCTCAAAATACCAACCAAATTGTTCTCTTCGTTCCTACCAAGACCTTCTGCCCTCTAGCTCCCTTGTCACTTCCTCCCATGCTCTCCTCCAGGACTTTTCCTGAGTTTCTCCCATCCTATGGAATTCCCTACCTCAATCTGTCCAACTGTCTCCTACCCTACAAGCCTTTCCTGCCCCCACCTAATATCTGTACTTTATTTTCTCCATCAGCTCTTCCCCCACAGTTATTGCCTTTTATATAAATTGATTGTAAGCTCTAACAAGCAGAGCCCTCTATTTCCTACTGTACTAAATTGTATTGTAATTGTACTGTCTGCCCTCACATTGTAGAGTGCTGTGCAAATTGTCACTGCTATATAAATCTTGTATACTAATAATAATAACATAGCTAATCTACTATGCCTTGAAACAGAGACGTTGGGGTGTCTGGTGTTAGCCAGAGGCAAATGGTCACTGAGGATGTGGTCATCTAATTTTTGATAACTTAAAATGCATCTTTTGGCCCTAAATAGTATCTAAAATTACATTTATCGTATGTAGCAGGTACCTGCATGTCAGTCCCATTTTCAATTAGAGTCCCCAGCCAACTGCTGATCCCTCTGCTGAGCCTCTCACAAAGCTTCGCAGCTCACATAGTGCCACCCCCCCCCCCAGAGTGGCTCACATTGCCCCTCAACCTTGCAAAGTGTCCAAAGGCCCCCTTAGGGCCCTCAGCTCTCACAGTACCCCCAGCCCCCTGCAATTCCCCCTATTTTATTGCAGAGTCTCCAGCCCCACCATAGAACTCAATAGCCTCCAACAGTGTCCCACAGGCAAATTTTTTCCCCCCATGCAGTAGTGCAGTAGGGTTGTGCCCACACTGCATGCGTTAATAGCTCGTTTTGTTTAGTGGAGAACACAGAGCCTATACTCACTCGATCCTTTGTTTTCCTCTGGAAAACAGTGCTCCCCCATGTCCATCGGTGGTGGACTGTTCCTGCTCTCCTCAAGACCGCTAGACCATGGGGGGAAGGTGAAGCAGGGTCTTGAACTGGGAGGATCAGCAGATTAGGTAAGTATATCTTGGCTCTCCAATCCCCTAGACAAAAACGAGCAGTTAACCCATGCAGTGCAGGCACAGCTCTACTGAATGGGAAATAAAACACTTTTTTTACAGAGTTCTTCTTTAAACTACCATACTCTGTATTGTTGTTATTATCATTGCAAGAACATTTAAATCTAGTTCCTCTAGAATTAAAGCAGCCAACCAGACTAGGCCTGGAATGTGCGAGCATACAGTTAAGACCAGGTTCCTTAACACTACAGCACAATGTACCTCTAAGAAGGAGGTGTATAGTACATGGAGATACAGTATATACATACTCCATATAAAATATATATGTGGCTGAGTTCATGTCCCCTCAGACAATGCAGATGGATATTAAACAGCAGTGAATTGGTTAATGAGGGACTTTAATCAAAAGCTGCAAATGATTCCCAAGGCTGGTATTAGTGAGTGGAGGGGGTGTTAGTCACTCCAATGATTTCTCCTGGGACCCAGGACTGCAGCTATAGCAAGAACCTGACAGAGCCATAAATCTTCATTTACTGCAAACATCGAGCTCTACACAGCGCCGCTGCATAGGTTGGTGCCTTCTACAATTAATGCTCCGTTCTTTCTCTGCTATTACTATGCATACATGGGGAAGAATGGTGAGATTATATATGCCTAGGCCAGAATGACTAATGCCCAGGTGTGCATATGTATAATTAATTTTTACAGGAATTTTGCCTTTGTGACATGAGCTATTTTGGATGTTCTATTTTTCTGTGATTTTTCCAAACTGCTACAAAAGGCTTGGACACAATGCAACAGTCTCGCTTTCAGTCTGAAAATGAAAGTGATTATCAACTAGTATAGCTATACAGGTTATATTGAGGAGCCAAACCAATAAGAAGTCCTCTACTTAAATACTGTAAAGTACAGGATTATCTTTTAAAGTCAGAAGATATTTATGTGACATTCTTTCACAAATATGAAAATCAAGGAGTTTATTCAAAGCAAATTCAGTTTCAGAGCAATTTCTAATCAATATATTTGCAGTGTGCTTTTTTTTTCTCATTATAAATTAATGATTTGCATGGTTCTACGCACTATCCCAAAATGAAAAAGAATCTCCATATTCTCGATGATTTGTGAGGAAATGAGAGACACGTAAATACCCTCTGTTCAAAGAATAGCTACATATAGAACTGAGCCAGCAAATATGTTGTATGTATATAATACAGCTTGCCAATTCATAGATGTGTTGACTGCATTAGTTTTTCTTTTTTTAAGGTTTTTTTTAAAAATGTATTTTCAGATTGGTTATTCAGCCAGTAAGTCTATTTTTCAACTTCTTTTAACAGATCAAGCTGTCCAGCAAAAGAGGTGGTTGGAGACTTGGAACAAACCATTTAAGATTGACAGGGAAACTTGCTTCCCTCTCCCCAGTTTGAAAACGCTGTTGTCCAAAGTTGTCTTCATTGCTCCTCTGTCCAGACTGGGGACACCCAGGACAGGAAGTGTGTTACTGGCTGGATCACTATGGGTGAATAAGGCAAAAAAAAAAGAAACTAGAAAAAAAGCCAAACACAGCCACCAGATGTAAGGCTTGCTAAGCTGCAATATATTACCTTTTTGCTTTTGGGTTTAATATTACTTTAAATAAGAACACCATTGAAGCAAAGTGTACTATAATTTTTCACATGCTACATTAATAAACTACACCTGTACTGCACATGCTGTCTTTATTTCAGGTACGTACAGTATAAAATGCCATCAATTTACTCAGCACTTTACATATAAAGTATATATATATATATATATTTATTTATTTATTTTAATTATTTATTTATTTATTTATTTTTTTTTTGCACATTTACATCAGACCCTAACCCTTAAGAAGTGTACAGTCTAAGGGCTCGTTCACACTTGGCTGTTTTACCAACGCTTGGCAAGCGTTGGCAAGCGTTGGTCCGGCGTTTGCAGAGTGTTTTTTAACGCTTGGCAAATGCTCTGCAAACGCTGCATGCACGGTTTAGCGGCGGTTGCTAGGCGTTTGCCGAGCGTTAAAAATGCCCCACAAATGCCTATAATGCAGTTTGAATGGTGTTACCGCTCTGCAAACGCCCCGCAACCGTGTCGCAACCGCACTGCAAAGCCGGCCGGGCGTTTGCGGAGTGGCACCATAGGCTAGAATAGGAGGCTTCAACGCCTCCTGACTCAACCAGACGCGTCCGTTTTGCCGCAACACGACGCGACGCAAACGCTCCCATTAGAACAGCACCATGTGCTGTAATGTGCAGAATTGGCAGAGGCGTTTGGGAAGCGGTAAAAAACACTTCCCAAGCGCCTCTCTGCCGCCTGCACACAACACTAGTGTGAACGTAGCCTTAGGTCCCTAACTCACATTCATACATACACCATTTTGCCATAAGTATTAGGCCAGCCCTCCAAATCATTGGATTCAGGTGTTCCAATCACCTCCATGGCCACAGGTGTATAAAACAAGCACCTAGGCATGCAGACTGCTTCTAAAACATTTGTGAAAGAATGGGTCGCTCTCAGGAGCTCAGTGAATTCAAGTGTGGTACCGTGATAGGTTGTCACCTGTGCAATAAGTCCATCCATGAAATATTCCACAGTCAACTGTAGTGGTATTATAACAAAGTGGAAGCAACTGGGAACAACAGCAACAAAGCCACGAAGTGGTAGGCCACGTAAAATGACAGAGCGGGGTCACTGTGCACATGCTGAAGCGCACAGTGTGCAGAAATCGCCAACTGTCTCCAGAGTCAATAGCTAAAGACCTACAAACTTTGTGTGGCCATCAAATTAGCACAACAACAGTGTGTAGAGAGCTTCCTGGAATGGGTTTCCATGGCCGAGCAGCTGCATCCAAGTCTTACATCACCAAGTGCAATGCAAAGCGTCGGATGCCGTGGTGTAAAGTACGCCACCACTGGACTTTAGTAACGAACCATGCTTCTTTGCCTGGCAATCCGATGGACGTGTCTGGTTTTGGCGGTTGCCAGGAAAACAGTACTTGCCTGACTGCATGTGCCAAGTGTAAAGTTTGGTGGAGGGGTTTATGGTGTGGGGTTGTGCTTCAGGGGTTGGACTTGGCCCCTTAGTTCTAATGAAAGGAACTCTTAAGGCGTCAGGATACCAAGACATTTTGAACAGTTTCATGCTCCCAACTTTGTAGGAACAGTTTGGGGATGGCCCCTTCCTGTTCCAACATGACTGCTCACCAGTGCACAAAGCAAAGTCCATAAAGACATGGATGAGCCAGTTTGGGGTGGAGGAGCTTGACTGGCCTGCACAGAGTGGAGACTGCAAACCAGGCCTTCTTGTCCGACATCAGTGCCTGACCTCACAAATGTTCTTCTGGAAGAATGGTTAAACCTTCCCATAGACACACTCCTAAACCTTGTGGACGGCCTTCCCAGAAGAGTTGAAGCTGTTATAGCTGCAAAGGGCGGGGCCAACTCAATATTGAACCCAACAGACTAAGACTGGGATGCCGTTAAAGTTCATGTGAGTGTAAAGGCAGGCCGACCAATACTTTTGGCAATATAGTGTATACATACTAGGGCCAATTCACCTACTAGCATGTCTTTGAAGCGTGGGAGGAAACCCACGAAAGCACAGGGAGAGAATGCAAAATCCAGGCAGGTGGTGCCATGGCTAGGATTCAAACCGACAACCCTAGGGCTGCCAGGTGAAAGTGCTAATCATTTAGGCACTGTGCTGCCCCATTTAAGGCAAGAAATTAGAATGTCTCATAAAACACAAAAGGGTTTGAAATATTGTTACATACCATACCATGAAGCACATACAGACATACATAATTGTAACAATTATTGCTGCTACCACATACACCCCCTGAATATCCCAGCAGTCAGTGCTTCACAGATTAAAACATACAATGTAAAGTGTGAAACATACAATGTAGAAGAGTTCTATCAATTATATATTCCACTGATTCCAGTGGTGGGGTAGAAGTGATATTCAATGCGCTCCTCAGACTGTAAGTCTGCTTCGTCAGCATCAAAACAAGGATTTCATTAAAAAGGTATCAAACACATACAGTACTGTCATGGTAATTTAATGATGTACCATTGCTATGACTTGTGTGTCCAAACCAAGAAATTAAAGCAGTATTAAACCCAAACGCAAACATTTATAATATTACAGTTTCCCAATTTTTAGATGTGATGGCTTTTTTTAGGGTTTCTTTCTTCTATTTTCATCTGGTGATTTGGCCACTATGTTTGTTGTTTTTCAAAAGAACAAGCTCTCTTTCAGCTAAATCAGTTACGGGGATAAAACAAACCATTTTCCTGGCTCCTGGCTCTCATCCTACTTGTCACAATGCTCTTTCAGCGTTACCTATAATGCTACCACCTCCCCCTCACTTCCCCTCTCTGTTGGGGTCCCTCAAGGCTCTGTCCTTGGGCCCCTTCTCTTCTCCATCTACACCTCCTCCCTTGGCCAACTCATACACTCTCCCGGCTTCAACTACCACCTCTATGCCGACGACACACAAATCTATCTCTCAACCCCCCACCTCACCCCCTCGGTTCCCGCCCGAATCACACACCTACTGAGCGACATAACAGACTGGATGTCGCTCCACTTCCTTAAACTGAACCTCTCCAAAACCGAGTTTCTTGTCTTCCCCCCAGCCCGCACACCACCCCCCATTGACTTCTCCATCACATCCAACAATGCCACCATCAAACCCGTCCCGCAGGCCAGAGTACTGGGTGTCATTCTGGACTCCAGCCTATCCTTCCAGCCCCAAGTCCAATCTTTAACAAACTCGTGCAGACTCCACCTCCGCAACATCGCCAAAATCCGCACGTTCCTAACCCCAGAAACCACTAAATAGCTCATCCACTCCCTCATCATATCACGACTCGACTACTGCAACTCCCTCCTCACTGGCCTGCCTCGCCGCTGGCTATCCCCGCTTCAGTCGATCCTGAATACGGCTGCCAGACTCATTCACCTTTCCAACCGCTCCATCTCCGCCGCCCCCCTCTGCCAATCCCTCCACTGGGATCCGATTGCGCAACGGATCAAATTCAAAATCCTAACACTGACGTACAAAGCCGTCCATCATACTGCCCCGAACTACATCACTGACCTAATATCCAAGTACTGCCCAGCACGCACACTCCGCTCCTCACAAGACCTCCTTCTCTCTAGTTCCCTGGTCTCCTCCTCCCATGCTCGCCTCCAGGACTTCTCCAGGGTGTCACCCATCCTCTGGAACTCCCTTCCCCAACCTATCAGATTATCACCTACTCTCCTCTCCTTTAGGCGCACCCTGAAAACCCATCTCTTCAGGGAAGCCTACTCCACCCCCTGCTAACCTGCCGACCTCCTCCACTCTTCCTACCACTCCATCGCCCACAGCTATCTCCTCCTGTGCCCCTATCCCCTCCCTCCTAGATTGTAAGCTCGAAAGAGCAGGGCCCTCAATCCCCTCATGTTTTGCATTGTATTGGTATTGTTCTGTCACATGTTCTGTCCCCCTTTGTAATGACAGCGCTGAGCGAACTATTGGCGCTTTATGAATACTGTATAATAATAATAATTTACCAATGACAGGGGTGTTTACAATTATCAGCTTGTATTTATTTGTGTAAAACCTTTATCCCAAAAAAAAAAAAAAACAACTGTTTGCTGTAACTAATTATAAAGCAAGAGCTTGAGTTTGCCTTCAATTTTTAGTGTATTTAAATCTGCATCTAACACTCCTCTCTCCCTAGATTGACAATGCTGCTGTATGCTGTGCCCCACATGCACCTTCATCCAGAGTGGACGCACTTCAATACAGGAGGTGTGGTACTGGCCAGATCACCAGGTGAAAAAGGACAGAAAAAAAACCTCCAAAAAACTAATTCAGCCACCCAGGGGTGGACTGACAACTCATGGGGCCCCAGGGCAATAGGGGATCATGGGGCCCCTGTGTCCTTGCCCAAACTGAAAAACGCCTATGAAAAAGGTACCAGGGGCATCTCATGGGGTCCCTACTGACCCCAGGCCCTCAGGCAGTTCTCGAGTTTCCAAATGGTCAGTCCGGCCCTGCAGTCACCACATCTAATGATTGATAAGCTGCAATATATAACATTTTTGGTTTGAGGTTTATTACCGTTTTAAAATCTTCATTGTACAGTACAGTTAGCAGGAGTTCGTTATTGAACCATGAGTTATATGCTGCTACCCTTAGGTAATTGGACACTGGCAAAAGCTTTGCTGGGACTGGCCAACAGTGTTGCCATATAATTGCAACTACTTTTTGAGGCACCATCTTTTTTCTATTTTCCTTACGTGATCAGCTCCTGTGGGACAACACTTTTTTTCTATTATTTCACCAGGTTTCCTTTCCTTCTTGACTGACACTTCTATGAAGATTTGACTGATTACTGTCCTATGGCCTAGTAGCATAGTAACAGTTTCCAGACCGGTTACCCTTGGTGTATATCTTTGGAACCATACGCAGATGGGGCCTGCCTGTAATGTTTGCTTCGAGTGCTGGATCCTGCATTCAGCATTCACCTTGGCATGTGGGTTAGCTGCAGGGTACTTTACAGGTCCTGGGCTGTGGTCCATACCTAGGCACCCAGACCCTGAAAACCCCCTCAGTGGTATGGCCACCATGATGGGTAAAGCCTGTACCCTGGATGGGACAAGCAACATGGACAATCTAAGGCAGGGCTTCCCTGTACATTTACATACCGTTTTCTTGGCTATACATGTCTTGTTAGATCATTACTAGTATTTGTAATACACACTACATTATATCCTTCTATTCTACAAGACGTACCACAGTGCTGGGTACACATGTTGATTTTAAGTCACATATTGTGGGGTAATCTATACTTAAGTGTTTTTTTTTCCCTAGTTTTTATTGTCTTGCACGGTTCGGCCTTATAGGTAACATTATTATAACGTTCACCTATTTCTGTTCGGCAGTCTTTTTTTCACTTTGCTACTGAAAGTTCCCCTCTGGCTAGTGATGTAGTGCTTTTAAAACTCCTAACTGCTGCACATTCCCACCGGCAACTCAAGGTTAACGCTTGGGGAGATCCTCATATGGGAATGGCAGATTTCAGGTGGGCACATGGGACAACTAGCAAGAATCCCGCTGAAGGGCCAAATAAACTCCAAGTTGTACTCAGGTTGATGGCTGTTCCTTTTTTCCAGAGCAATGTCTTATAATTACATCATTCCATCTCCCTAATTCAAATCCCTGCACAGAAGTAAAACAAGCAGCCTTTCTGGCTAAATTCTCTGTCATTACGTTTAATCTATTCCAATGGCTAACTGAAATATAATATTAAGCAGCACTCCATTACAAAAATGAACTAGTGTTCAACATAAACCATTACTGTGTGTCCACATGTATATATATACCAAGGTGCAAGTGATTAGGTAAGTATAATGCTCAAAACAATTACACTAACTTAAGGGCTCCAAAAAGTGCCCATGCTGAGTGCGACAATATACAAAGTCCATGCTCCACTACAACAATAGAATTTGTGCTCTGAAAACTTTAATAACCAAATGCCCTTTCAATCTTCAATCCAATTGCCGTGATCCAAGAGGTGTCCCTACAAGGATATGCACTCACCAGAGCAAGTTGACCCATTGGAGAGCAGGTTGACCCCTTGGTTCTAAGTGTATCTTATGTACCACAGGGTTCTACCACTCCACCTTTCCAGACAAGAGGTCCCGGCTATCATATAAGTCCTTTATCAAACAGCTCAAATCAGGGAAAAACAGATCCACAGAAAAGAGTTCATTGCACAACAAATATTTATTATCAGGTAATAAAAAAGATAAATAAAACATGTGCTGTACACTCACATGTTCATGGTGCTCCTCTCGATGGCCATTATATCCAGCGCAACAAAGCAGAGTTAGAAGATACTGCCATCCCACCAAGCCAGAAGCGGTGTGCATTCCACACCACGAAAGTGACATCGCTGGAAGTGATACTAGTAACTGGAAGTACCCGCCTCTAAGAGTTTTGTCCCCACCTAGGACATCATCAGGGAGC